AGCCACGCCCCCACGCCGCGCGCCCGGCGCGGTTCGAACCAAGCCCCGCCCCCGTTGCCATGGCAGCCGCTGTGGCGGGAGCGAGGCCACGCCCCTCGCGCGGGCTCTGGCGGCGCCCTGAGCGCGGAACCGCCGCTGAACCGGAGCTGGGCGCGGTGAGAGCGGGGGCTCGGAGTGAAAACGGGGGGTTTGGGGGGAGAACGGTGGGCACCCGGACCACCGGGGGACAGCGGAGCCGGCTCGGGATGGAGTGGMACCGGGAGCACGGMGAGATCGTGRGGAMCCGGAACAAAGGGCATTARCCACACGGCGGGGACAKCGGGAGGGACATCGAGGGGAGCCAGGACRGAGTGGGGGCAYTGGGGTGACATTGGGGGTTCCAGGGCCAGGGCAGGGTGCGGTGCTCTCGGGGGACACTGGGAGGGCTCAGTGGCGGGGCAGGSTGGGGGCACTGGTGGCACCAGGAAGGCCCTCATGGGGGATGGTGGCCCATCTGCCCCCCATCTGTGGAGCACAGGGTGACCCCTTTCCACCTCCACCCCGAAATATTGGGGCCCAGTTTTTGGGGCGCACAGTGACCCCTCTCTCCCAACCTTTGCGTGCCAGGAGTGACCCGTTTTCCCCGCGGGATTTTTTGCTCCGATGGCGAGGGACGAGCGGGTGACGCTGCTGGAGGTGCACCAGGCGCTCCCGGAGGAGCAATTCCAGAGCCTSAAGTTTCTGCTGGAAGGGCAAGTTCCTGCCGGGATTCTGCTCCCGGCATCGCGCCCCGAGTTGTGCCGGATCCTCCTCCAGCGCTTCCCAGGGAATTCCCTGCGTGTGACCGGCGGGATCCTGCGGCAGCTCGGCCGTCTGGACCTCATTCAGCGCTTCCAGCTGCCCCTGGAAGAGCAAATCCCAGAGGAAACKCCCAGGAAACCCAATGGGGACACCCCCACTCCAGGATGTCATCCTGGTGGGATTCCAGCTCCASCCGTGAATCCCCGGCGCTTGACGGAGAAGGATTTGATGCAAATTGCCCAAAGATTGGGAAAGGAGTGGCAGGAAGTGGGAATTCTGCACCTAGGGCTGGAGCGGAGCCGGCTGGAGCAGATCCAGGAGGAAAATCCCGGCAATCCCGTCCTGTGGAATTTTGAGATGCTGCGGGAGTGGCGGCGGCGGGAGCGACATGAGGCCACAGTGTCCCAGCTCCGATCCCAACTCGAGCCTGCCCGGCTTGATCCTGCAATCCTCGACTTCCTGCAGAGCCTCCAGGGGGATTGAAGGACCCCCAAATCCCATTGCAAGGATTTATACAAAATATACAAATATTGTATACAATTTATACAAAATAATGTATACAATTTATACAAAATTGGGACCATTAAATACTGTTTTATTCCCTGAGTGTGGAATTTTGGGATCAAGTATGAAGAATTCCCATCTTTATTCCTGATTTAAAGATTCCAGAAGGAAGTCAAGGCTCTGCTCC